TCTCTGAGCACTTGGCACAGGCGTGTACTTCTGGACACTCCAGGTAGGTTGCAGTTCTGGAATATGTTGGCACTGGAGGATAATAGGTTTCTGGTAGATTCACGTTTAATTCTACACAAGACAAACAAAATGCAACAAAACGTTTGATTGCCCGGTGGTCAGGTCTAAAAAGTTTAGCTTTTTCTAGGGTTTCACATTCATTTGAAAGGCATTTTACAATTTTGGCCATCTCAGTGTCAGTTTTTCCACCAGAGGTAGTGAAGCTGCCTAATAATCATGCACACATGAAATAAGGCAAGATTCACTTTCGCCACATCCTCCCGCATTACACAAACATATATCACCTGAAAAGGTTGAACTCCAATGAGCATTCAAGGTTTTATGTTTTTTTTTGGGCACAGAGTGTACATACTTTATGCCTTTATGTCTTATGTAAAGCACTTTGAATTGCCTTACAATAAACTATACAAATAAACTTACCTTGCCTTGTCTTTCGTGAGCATCCCAATTTGCTGGCTTACATGTATAGATAATCGATTTAGCTGTATGGGGTCTCTTTCACCTCAGGAGCTTTTGATGGAAACTACATGGCATCAACGTGCTATGTGTCTCACGCCTCTGCAGAGTCTGCACCCGTGTACCACTAATGAGGGACAATTAAACATTCTAGAAATTTGAGTGTCGTCAGGCTATCATTATGCTTTAGAGAAGGTCAGCGCCAAGGGTGTCGTGCAACCTTCTACTACCGCTTCCTGTCCCTGGGGAAATTTGTTTGATAAAACTGGCCAACCTAAATTGTAGTGAACATTGAAAAGTCTTTAAGATTGTTAATAGTTCAGGAACTCACTTAAGAGGAGTGTTCTTCTGTGTGTGAGATTTAGTTTTAATCAAAATACTTTATCTCACAGGAGAGATGATGCTCTGGCACTCTGTATGACCCTTTTAGATATAGTGTAGAGTGTGTTCTGAGGGAGTGCAAGAAAGTCACTCGTTCTTTGAATTACAGCCAAAGCATAGTATAGTAAAAAAAAACAAAAAAACCTGAGAGCACTGTAATAAAACAAGAGCTCAAAGTCTTTCTGCTTCCTTTGCTTCCCTGCGAGTCAGCCATGTCCTCCATGTCCTGCCCTACAGATATCTTTACCCTTTTATCATTAGAGGGTTTGGGAGTCTTTTCTCGATTTCCTCTCAGGTGTGACTTTAACATAAACATTAACATAAATTGTTGCTTGGTTACCCCTGACCTGCAATGTGTACATCAGTCTAAATCTTTTCTCTTTCTCAGGGCATCCATATGCAGTATACAATCACCAGCCACTTTATTAGGTACACCTGTGCAATTGGTTGTTAACCAAAAGAGGTAATTAACCAATCACATGGCAGCAACTCAGTGCATTTAGACATGTAGACTTGGTCAAGAAAACCGAAGTTCAAACCGAGCATCAGAATGGGGAAAAAAGGGGATTTAAGTGAATTTGAACGTGGCATGGTTGTTGGTGCCAGACGGTGGTTTCTTGAACATGACAAAGAGTTCACTGTACTCCAATAGCCTCCACAGTTACCAGATTTGGGATGTGGTTGAACAGAGGAATCGTATCATGGATGTGCAGCTGACAAATCTGGAGCAACTGCATGATGCTGTCATGTCTAATGGACCAAAGTCTCTGAGGAACACCTTGTTGAAACTCCACCCTTTCATCCAATGCCACAAAGAATTAAGGCTGTTCTGAAGGCAAAAGGGGGTCCAACCCGATACTAGCAAGGTGTACCTAATAACGTGGCTAGTGAGTGTATGCTGGCAAAGTTTATGAAAGAAAAATACCATGAAGTTGTATCCTGCGTGCAAACTGTGCTGCTGAGGGCAGACAGTACTGAGTGAAAATGATTTTTGTGTGTGTGGCTACCCACACAAAAACAAAAATAATGAGGCCTAGCAAAAGTCAAGTGCAATTTAAAAAGAAAACAAACATTGTACTCCGTTTTCTGTCTTGGGCTGCTGTCGGGGTATAGTTGATCTACTGAGGATAAAATATAAATGCTAAACAGTTTTTCTCTACATGACACTTGTTCATTATGTTTTAATGAGCTTTGCATGCTGGGTGCTCATTGTGGGCCATTTGGCTGTTGGCCAGAGGGCCTGTCAGGTGTTACTGGAAAGACAACTAAATCTGAACAGTTTTCTGCAGATTTCCCAGCATGGTTTCCAGCAAGCACGCGCTGAAGCTACAAATTGTGCAGGTATGAGTAATTAAAAAAGTGATTATCCACAATTGAAAGCCAAAAACAATGGACCAAGTGTATAAAGATAAGCCTCTGGTTTGATATCAGTGTTTTTTACCCATGGAGTATCAGCATTGATCAGAGACTTGCAGATTTTATAATTACATGCCAGGCCAGAGAACCTAGTCTGACTCTAAACTAGATTAACCTTTGATACACCTAGCTCTTTGCACAAGCAGGGTGCAACATAGTTAAAGGAAAAGCTCTGTACAAAAGTTATTGTTTAATGATCACAATTCTCAGTAAGCACCATCATTTTGGAATCCATGTCCTGCATAATGAAGGCCCCTGAGATGCAGAGCTAATAGTGTTATGACAATAAATCGAGTTTGACACTGCGTTTCAATTTTCGGGATACACAACTGCTTATTCAAGTATAAATCTATTCGGACTGACTGTGCTGAGTAAAGGTTACACAAGTCACTGATTCAGTTATTTGCTGAAAATAATTCTGGTCCCAGCATGGCTGGATTAACCCAACAGGGCGCTCTGGGACAAAAATGAGCTGTGGGCTCCTGTAGACCACCTTCCTTCCACTCTTTGGACATTGTGTATGTATCAGGTTGCCTTCAAGTACAGCAGACGCATCAGACTACACATGGCAGATTAATTATATTTTTAAGAGGGTCCTAGATGAAATACTGACTGCTTGACACTAATATTACAAAACACAGGCACATCCTTTCTCAAAACAATGCAGAAAAACTAGTCCACGCATTTGTTACTTCTAGGCTGGATTACTGAAATTCCTTATTATCAGGCAATTAAGTCCCATAAGACTCTCACTCTTTGATTGTTTGATATTTTGTAATTGTCTTGTTTTTACATTTGACACTGATTTCTTTTTATTTATTTATTATTATTATTATATTTTTAATCAATTAATTATTATATTGTTGTTACACATTCATGCCAATACGTATCATGACAAGAACCAAGAAAAGAGATCATATTTCTCCTGTTTTAGCTTCTCAGTACTCCCTGTAAAATCCAGAATAGAATTCAAAAGCCTTCCTCTCACCTACAAAGTCCGGTCAGGCTTTATCTTAAAGACCTTTATTGTACCTTATTTCCTCACTAGAACACTGCACTCCCAGAACACAGGGTTACTTGTGGTTCAACTATCTAGCCTTCAGCTATCAGGGGTCGGTACATAAGTCTGGCATTGGGCAAAAATTTTTTCAAGTCGTTAGATGGCGGGCCAGAACAAAGTCAGTTTATATGCTGTGTGCCTATTTCAGCTCAGTCAGTAATGCACAGGATTCCTGTTCAAAGATTTGAGAGTTCAGTCCCCACTTGCTGCTTGTATTATTTTTCTCCCTTTTCAACAAATTGATTATGAAGAGATAGTTCTTACATGTTCACAATTAATCATATGCAGGTGTGTGTCTTGACTGGCGATTGGTCCACATCAGCCTATGGACGCTTATTTTCATTTCCCCAGTATCTCCAGGCAGAGGAAATTCCTGCGTTTCTCACTCAGGGGAATCTGATCTCACGTTTATTGACGGCTTTTTCAGAGGTGTATCAAGCAAGCCAGAGACTCTTTTGAATTTCCTTCAGAACCTATCAAAGTAAAAACTATCAATTAAACACGACATAAAGTACTGCTGTAAAGATGTTCTTGCACTTTTATTTTGGAGGCACAATCACTTAAGAGGAAGTTATTGTGTGAGCAAGATATTATTGCTGGCGGGCCAGCTTTGGACCGCGGACCGCCTATTGCTGACCACTATCCTAGATTGTGTTCGGGAGGAAGACACCCTCTCCTATAAGAGTAGGCTTAAGATTTTCCTCTTTGATAAATCTTATAGTCAGGTGTCTGTGAAGGTTCCAGGTCATAGTTATCCAAATAAGGTTAAAGTCAAGCGCAACTGGACTTGGTTGAAGATACTATGAGACATTTCGTCCCTCATCCAAGAAACTTCTTCAGTTCTGAAATGACCAGTAGGGAAACTCAACTATTTAACCTCTGTGGGTTGTGAACCATCCTTTAGTTTTGCTGCTGTAGACTTAGACTGCCACGGCTCTTCTCTCATCCTCTCTTTCTAAATTTGTATGCATTCTCATCCCATTAATGCATGTTACTAACTTGACTTCTTCCCTCCCCCGTAATTTTGTGCTTTCTCGTCCCTCTTCTCTCTGTTTGTATTTTTGTGGGGACATGTCCCCAACCGGTTTAGGCAGACAGCCGCCCACCCTGAGTAATGTTTCTGTTCAAGGTTTCAACCTGCTAAAAGGTTGTGTTTTCATGGTGGAAATTGTTGGGTCCCTGTTGATAATATTACAAAGACTACGGTCTTGATCTGCTGTATGAAAAGTGCAATGATAACTTGATAACTTTACTATGAATTGGCGCTACATTAATAATAATGAATGGAATTGAACTGAGATTTTATTGTTTTTCAGATAGTTTATGATTATTTAATTTAACACAACTGTATTTATGAATATGCAGCATGTCAACATGATGTAAATTTGAGTTATAAAGGTTTTTAATATAGGTTTTGACACATGGCATCATTTCATACTTTACTTTGGTGGGGCATATTCCCACACAAAATAAAAATTAATTAAATTACCACATATCAGTTAACAAACAGTGACTCTGGGACATTTGTGGGGCCTTGGAGCAGTAGCTTGTTTTGCCTAGTCAGTAATTAAACTTTAGTCGATTTATTAATTTTATTAGACAATTTGTTTTTAAAAACACCAGCTCAGTCAGGACAGTGAGTGCTCACATAAAAGGAAAGTAAGGATAACACAATACAGTGGCCCCATTGAAGATGGGGGTGTGTGCAGGTGTCAAATTGGCAGGTCTGACATGGCAAGAATGACACAAAAAACATCAACACAATAATACTATACAATTTAATACAATCATCACCTGTGCCTACACTGTCAGCAAGTTATTCACTGTATTACTGTAACAACATCAATTTCTACCTCAGTGCTTTCACTGGAAAATGTCCTACTCTTCACTCAGTTCATTAATTTACATCAGAAATAAATACATCAATATATCAACATTACTTCACCACCCTGTCAGCAGATTATATAAGTCTGGGCCTGTACATATTAATTAAAATAAACAACATCATAAACAAAGAAAGACACCCTATTGTCAGACACAATATCCTACTGTGAGTAGCCTCTGAGCCAATTCTTAAGCACCAACTTGAAACCTCCCAAGCTGCTTAAGATTTTAAGATTTCCTGGGATTTTATTCAACAGATTCACTGCCATGTACAGAAGAGTTTCCTTACCCAGGTTACCCCTAATCTTTGGAGGAACAAAATCAGTTGAACTGCCTCTTGTTGAATAGCTGCAAACATCCCTCACCTGTATGAAATATTTTTTAGGTATTGAGGGACAGCACCATGCTCAATCTTATGTACAATGCACAACTAGACCTAAGAGACTCTTTCCTGTACTTTTAGCCACCCAAGGCTCTCAGAATGAGAAAGGTCAAGGTGAGTTCTAATGGAGAGATTCATAATTACCCTATTTGAGAGGTCATCGTACCATAAACAGCAGGCATGGTCAAAATAAGACTGGACAAAAGCTCCTGCCAGGGTTACCATCGCTTTTCTGTCCAAAAATTCTGGCTATGAAGCATGTCTATCTATCTATCTATCTATCTATATATATATATCGGTGTTACCAACAACAATGTTAAAACCAGGGGACTTTTAAATTCTCATTGACCCAAACATTATGGGATTCTGCATTTCCTAAATAGAGTGACAACTTATTATCTGTCATCCACTTGCTGACATTAAGAGGTTTTGTACTCAGTGTGCCTTGCTTTAGTATTTATGGGAAACCAGTACTGTCATCTGCATTTAAAGAGTTCACATGAAGTGACAGACTTCACATCCTTGTGGGATCCCACAATCTGTAGACCTAGGATGAGGCATTGTCAGTTTTGTCAAGGACATCTTCCTTATCAACATGCAACAGCTTAAGCGCAGTTGACTGTTATATAGAGAAAAAATACTGTCCAGTTGATTTAATACTGAAGTGATAGCAGATTCAACAGAAACAGTACCACATCAGTGGCAGCCATCAAGATAGTTGACGAAAATGTCTCAATGTATGACTAAAATGTCATACAGTAAATTGTGTAAGGACAGGTAGTTCTCAATCTGTATAAAAAATCTTATCACAATATACAATACTGAAACAGGACTATACTTTCCGTGATTATTTCCTTTCTTGTATACAGAGGAATCACTCTAACAAGTTTAAGATCACTGGGGAAAAGACCTTGCTCAATAGATAGATTTACAATATGGGTGATGCATGGATTGATGATTTCAGTCGCATCTCTTAAGAATCTTGCAGGAATATTATTAAAACCAGTTACTTTGGAGCAGTTGAACCTGTTGAGCATCTCAAGCACAACTGCCTTAGACACCTTAGCCACCAGCTAGAACCCTTTGATAGGAGTACACTTACTGATTTGGCAGACGGCAGACGATGGGGTAGTGCCAATATACATGACTCTCCCCAAATTGTCCTGGCTGACCTGGTAACTTTTCAACTCGACTACTAGTTCTATGGCTTTTCATAACACTCACTCATCGTCAACCGCTTATCTAGTTACAGGGTGGAGGGGGCTTTAATAACAATCATATATAATATTTCATGACCATGCATAGAATTCATCCAGTCACTAACCAGAGAACTCTCTAGAGGAGTAAAGCATAAAACTTAATGTTGCACAAAACTTTTGAAAGAACATTTCTAAGCAGATAAATAAGACCCCACATTGTATATGTTAAGTGTTTGAGTTTGCTTTGTCACTCCATGTCACAGGAGCTTTGATCAAATCTGAAAAGCAAATTCTCATTTGATTCCAGCTCATCAGCGAGGATTAAGAAAAGCTATTCCTTCTATCTGACAGCAATTTTGTTAACAGCACTTTTGTCAGCACCTTTGTTCCTAGATTATTTGTGCAGTGCAGTGCTGATGTTGCTAGTGGTTGAAGAGGTGCTGTGCAAACAGAATGAGAAAAGGAAATCCCATTAATAAAAGCAAAGAGGAGTGGGTCTGTCTATCAACTGATGCCCCCTGTGTTACAAGCTTGTTAAAAACATTAGTCCCACATTATTTTTCAAACTAATTAATCTGCCCATGTATACTCTGATTTCTAACTTGGCCTAGCCCGGTTATTTCAAAAAGTTCAAGCTGAAAGCTTTTAATTTCATCTTTTGTTTGTTTAGTTTACAGTGTCTCAATCGATATAATTTTCCATTAAAACATCAAATCAACCAACGTCTTCTTTAAAAGATCATAATTATAGTCACAGACAAGATAGAAAACAGAGAGACAACATATTCACAGAAGGTAACATTATTGCGTCACTTTTTCTTCTTCAATATACATAACTGTAATTTAACAGAGAAAGGCTGATGCATAATACAGTTTATGCGCAATGGAAGGTTTGTTGCACAGGAGTAAAAATCTCACTGGAATCACTTCCACTCTTGATCCTTATAGGTTTCCTCAGGAACAGCATTCATCTCACAAACTACACACTCATTATACTGAACCCTTTGATGTATCATGTCAGATTGTCTTACCTTGGAAAAGGACATGAAATGTGTTGAAGTACTTGTACCTTTTTTTAATGATTTCAGGCATGAATCTTTTCCCCAAGACAATTCAGCAAACAATGATTATGCCATTTATTTCTCCTAAATACACTGAATAGATGTTGTACACTGCTTGACCTTGCCATTTTCTCAGCTTTCAAAAAGTACATACCATTAGGCTCTTCAAAAATCTTACTCTTTCATTGTCTTTAGAAAATACTATTATTCACTATTAGTCTACTTTTTAATTATTGGTTTAGGTAGATTGTTTTTCAGTTTGCTTTTACTGTATAGAATGTACACAAATGCACATTAGAACAAAAAACATACTGGCCAGCGCACTGGGAAACCTTCTCAAACCTTTTTTAAAGCATCTCGGTCATGACTTAGTCTAGTTTCATCCAAGCAAATCCCTCGAGAGTTTTATCAGAAAGGTACTCATGCACTGAGAGTAAAGAATGCTTAATCCCACTCATGATGCCGATGCTGTGGCAAATGTTAATTGAGGTTTACTATTAGATTTAACTAAGCTTACCAGAGAGCAGCACACGTATTGTCTGGCAGAGAGAGAGAGAGAGAAAGAGAGAGACATACTATATGGCAAGAGAGAGAAATAGAGTCACTGTATAAAATTTGCAGCAGAGTAAATCGTAAGCCAGCAGTGAAAGTGGGGCACATCCCACTGTGTAGTCCACTATGATTGTGATGTTTTCAAAAGCCAAAAAGATAATTGATTTTCTGTGTTGACAGGGTTGAGATGCACTATCATGAACAACTGCAAATCTAGTACTATAGGAAGCTTTCAATTATTGTCTTAAGTACAGTAAGCCAGTCATCCATATCAGACGTCCATTTGCACCAGAACCAGAACAGGCGGTGCCTCAGCCACTTTACCCTTGCGACGCAGCATGTGAGTCAGGCTCCTGAAGGATGGCGTGGCATGGAGGAGAAGCTCCTTGAGACCTGCCCGAAACTCCTGGCGAATCAGGCAGTAGAGCACGGGGTTGAGGCAGCTGTTGGTGTGTGCCAAACACACAGTCAGGGGGAAGGCATAGGCCTGTGCATTGTAGAAAGCCTTGCTGAAGGGCACAAGGTCAAACTTTATGAGTACTCCCCACAGTGTGAGCCCCTGATTGGGAAGCCAGCACAGAAAGAAGGACAGAACCACGATGACAATGGATTTGGTCACTTTGGAGCGGCGACTTTGCCGGCCCTGCTCAACCTCTGGACCCGCTGCACCTGTGATGCGCCGGCTGAGGAGGAAGCGCAGTAGCAGCAGGTAGCAGACAGTGATTATGATCAGAGGAATAAGGAAACCCAGCAGGACCTTTTGCAGCTGGTATAGACCCAAAAGAAGCTGTGGATCCCAGCTGCCTGAGTCTGGGAAGCGCACCAAGCAAAGCTCCTCATCTGACACCTGGACACTGGTGGAGTAGATGGCATGCGGCAAAGTGGCCAGCAGAGAGACAGCCCAGATGCCCAGGCTCGTCCACTTGGCCCTGGCGGCTGCCGCCCGCCGGCTGTGCATCTTCAGCGCAGAGGAGATAGAGTAATAACGCGCCACGCTCATAGCTGTGAGGAAGAACACACTGGCGTACATGTTCATCGTGGTGACAGAGCTGATGATTTTGCACATCACACGGCCAAACGGCCAGCGGAAGTCCAGGGCTGTGTCCACGGCCCAGAAAGGTAAAGTCAGGACAAACTGGAGGTCTGTGATAGCCAGTCCCATCACAAAGCAGTTGATGGATGATTGCTTCTGCCTGTAACGTGAGTGCAGCAGATACAGAGCCAGCGAGTTCCCTACCAGCCCAAGTGCACAGACTATAGAGTAGACACATGCTATCATCACACGCACCACCAGGCTTGAGCTGTCTCCTTGATATTCCATGATGGATTCCTTGGTGAGGAGCTGCAGCCAGCAGTGCAGCGACAGGTTGCTGGTGGAACCTCCGCTACAGTTTCCAGCATTTTCCTCCTGTGGTAATTGCTGCTCACATGGCTCTGGAGCCAGTGTTTGAACTCCAGTCTCATTCAGCTGCATGGCCGGACTCTCTTGCCCACATATCACCTTTGGACAGTTGTGTGTCACAAAAGACAGAAAAAGAAAGTTTGTGATGAATACATTCTGAGCACTGATGTTGTATCTCTGTCAGGTTATCTCACACAGCGCTGTGGACGCTATCCTCCGCCACGAGGATCCTCTTCTCCCCTCTCCACGACTACTCACCGGCTCTGCGCGCCACGACTGTTTATAGGTTCCACGTGAACGCGCGGAGCTCAGTCACGCGGTTGACGCTCTTCTCTTCACCAGCGAGATTATTGGATCAGAGCGAATTCATGCTCTGATAGCCGCAGCCAAATCAAAGTCTCCCAGTATGTCCGTCAGAGGTGAAGCTTAATATATTTTGACATGATACCGGCACCTCCTAGATAATCATGTTTGTGCTTTTGGAGACGTGGAGACAACGGTGCGCGTAAAATATGCGAAGGTGGTGAGAGGACGACTCTGCTGAATTCCAACTGTACATGAACAGTCTTGTGTGCTGTTTTTAAACAGAGAGCAACCTCTCTGGATGAGCATATTGCATTAGGCTAAAACCCTTGACAGTCCTTGTAGCCTATAGGTTATCTGCTTCCCCTGGCTGTTCTAACATTTGAAAGGAGAAAGAAAATGGGGTCAGGAGCGAACCTTAAATACACCACGGATATAAACCGCTCTGCTTAAAGGAACACATTGAAAATAAATATGTTACTGCCAATGACAACAACAATAATGAATATTGCACTTTTTGAACATTGTAAATGATCCTATACATATTTCCAAATATTTTCAGCTTTTGTTTTTTTAATCTTATATTTTTAGTTTTAGAATATTCTAGCTATTAATGTGTATCTACTTGAAATAAATGGACAAAAGGAGAAATTAGCCTTTCTATCCCAAGTAAAATCCATTAGATTATAAATGTCAAAAATTACATCTAAGCTCACTGAGGTATTTTATTTACATGAAGTTGTTTCATGCATGTCGAAGAGTGAATAGAGGTTTGCAGAAACTCTCAGCACATAAATTACATAAATATATTCAAGATAAAATCAAAAGGGAGTTCATTACAGCACAGAATTGCATTTACTTTGCATCATGCTAACCATTTTATGAAACTTCTCATTTGTGGTTTGTTGTCCATCCAAATTGTAATATTTTGCTTCCTCTATCAAATGATGTGAGGCAAAATCACAGTTGTGTAATCGAAATTCACTTGTTGGTTGCCAGCTGGCTTCAAATGGGTAAACGTGTTGTGCCACCTGTTGTAGCTGTCATATTTTCCAACAGCGAAGCCCAGGTAGACTTCAAATTAAGGGTAGAAACAGTTTTAAACAAAATGGAGTTGTCCACTATCCCTGCAGTTTTTGGGATCAATTCCATCCTTTGTAGTGAATCCCTCCTCCTAAATTGTTGAACAAATTATAAAGACATGACTGGATTTAAAAAAATTAATCTGCACTCTGTTTTAATCCATTGCGACCCAGTTCTTGTCATCTTAACAACCCTTAAACCTCCAAATGTGCAAGCACTGACAGTGTGCCTGGTTTAATGTTCTGAGTCTTCAAATGTGTGATGCAGAATAAGTCTGCAAAGGCTGCTTTCTAAACACCTGATATTTCACAGTTTGCATACCAAACTGGTTTTCATCTACTCCAAGTTATTATGCAGCTGTGAAGGACACCTCTTAATAACACTGTGATCAAAATGTGGAGAAAGCCATCAGTAATTGCTTGGGCTGAAGGGGGTAGCCTACTTAGCATATCAGGTTCGCGTCACCTTCGCGTGTAATTAAGTTTAGGCATTGTAACCCTGGTTCTATTATCACAGGCAGAACCGTCTGTCAGGCTCTATAGGCTTGCCAAGTTAATCTGCATATTAAAATATGAAGGGCGAATCAGAAAGAATCCTCCATATTCCCCCCACGTTGTTTGTACACTGTATATAGCTATTTTTACAAACCTGGCACCCACAAAGTCAACAATTTCAGCACCAGCGCAAATGACCAAGTGTGTGACGTGAGGCGAAGTTGCCTCTGAAAGCATTACGAGATAGCAGGCTCAGCATTTTCTGATTCACACAATTGAACAGGAAGCTTTGTAGTGACTTGCTGATAAAGAAAATGTGATGCTGTGGCGGGTCAGGACGTTTAGTCATATGTGAATGAACGTCTGTGGAGGTGAAGATCATTATTGGAAATTCAGGGATTTAGTATGTCTCTTGCTTTGAAGATGATAAAAACAATAGGAAGTGCTGTTTGGCAAAAAGGTAACCTAAATTGCTGGAGAGACTCATAGATTTCCTATTTACACAATGCTCGTTAACGAGAAAGCTACTTGACACACCCACAGCTTCAACTAATTAGTGGTGGACCTGATGTCACATGATTTATTGGCTTCCAGTTGGCCTTCATGATAAGGCTTTCAATAGGCTTAAATAGGACCTGATGCTCCCAGCCAAGACATCAACATGATACAATGTGGGGCCTTGGGTCATACAAAAAGAAAGAGTCAGTAGTAGAATAATAATAGTAATAATGCTTCTTTAAATAGCTCTTTTCAGTAACAACCACATACAATTAAACATGGAAAAGTAGCAGAAAGTAAAAATAAAGCAAACAATGGGGCGCTTTGTAGATCACAATGCCACCATACTAATATCTTCTAACAAAGAGAGTTGTTGAGGCAGCCATATTTTGCTTTATGAGCTTGGAAGGTCCAAGCTAACCAGGTCATGTGAAATTCACCAATATAAACAAGATAGCTAAGGGAAGCCCTGTACTAATGGTGATGCCGTGAGGCAAAAAATTCAACTTTACCGCAAGTGGAAACGACAAGCTGGATTTCTTCGTAAGAGCGTCAGGTCAGATTTTCCTGCCATTCTTGTAAAATCATAGAAGCATGAGAGAGCAGGATTTACACAGGCTCCGGCCTCAGTGATCCAACCAATTCCCAAAATGCATCTATGAAGGAAGAGAGTAGCTCCAGTTTAACCCCTTGACACCGATTGTTGCGAATTCGCATCATACCTCTTCCTTGCAGACTGCAAACCAAGATAGCACATGGATTCCCCCAATTCCTGTTGGTGCAAATTCAATACGTACCTAGGAACCTTATGCAAGCCCTGGTTTCTCGTTTATGCCTGTTGTTGCTAATTTGCATCATACCTACACATACCTGAATTTATATGTTTTCTATGTTCTATAGACAAATAAACAGTCTTCACTTAATTTAACATCAGCTTGAAAGCAAATGAAGCAAAATTTAAATTTTTTGACTGTTCATGCAAATTTAAATGATTTGAGTGAGTAAACTGTTTTATTAACGGTGATGCTGCAGTGACCTCTGTCTAACTGACCCATGAGACAAGGATATGTTTTTGACTGTTCATTCACCCTGTGTGATAGAATCATTAAAAAAATGATATAATGCTTAGATGGATATGCTTGAATGTCTTCTTGCCTGGAGTGTTTAATGTCTCCTTGAATCAATGAACAGTTTACTATCTTGTCCTAGTGGGACTAGAGATGATGCTAACTGAATACTGACATATTTTTGATGGTATAAAAATATGCAGTTAGAGCAAATAGCTACCTAATCACAGAGCTAGCCACAGGCTCACAGTCAGGCTCACCTTGAGAATGATTATTATTCCTTAGTGGAGTAAGGACAATTTCAGATTGTCATCTGTTAGGGTAATATTTGATGTAGGCCTAACTCTGACGGTGCTATTCTGCTGTCAAACATTCATCTATGATTAGACATCTCCATCTCAATTCAGAGTGCTTTAAAGACAATCTAAATGCATGCTTTTTAGACTATTTCCCCAGTTCGGAGCCACAAGTAAACATGGAAGGGTAAGATTCATTTTAATTTTAAGTTCATTTAATAATTTGAGAGAAACACACAAGATTCAATTAACATCGAAATGGAGTATCAGACATACCTTTGAGTCTGGTTCTTGTGTTTGTTGGTAGCAGCTATAACACCTTTCTGTAGAGGCTGCACTGATATTTGTACTTTAAACATTTGTAAAGACTGGGCTAAATAGTGTGTGACAGTTGTTTATGCAGCTTTTTTAGGTTCAGTTGTTGAGCGGAGCCACCAGCTCTTGGGTGACAGCGTGCCAGGTTGATGAAACCTTCATGTGTTTGCACTGTGTGTGTTTGTGTGTAGTGTGTGTGTTGACTCACCCTGACCACCACCCCCTCAACCTCCATCATAATGCACCTTTATCATACTGTATCTGACCTGACTGCACTTGAGTTGAAGTCTGTTTTCTTTGTAATTAATTATTTGCCCACTGGAAACCTAAATTCCTCTATCTGGGTAATAAATAATCTCCAAATGGGCAATACTTATCTAAAAAAACCACAGAATTTGGTGTCTGGGACATACGATAAATCACAGTTACTTAATTAAAGAACCAGAAGATTACAAATATGGCAAGAAGCAAAACAACAAAAAATACATAAATTAGAAAGTTCTGCATGGATTTGCATTTCATTAACTCCTCCAAATCCCATGAAGCACTGGGGGTTGCAAATATACTTTATATACTATACTAGACGTGTTGATGCAAATCAGCCTTCCAGGGACAAAAATTTATTTTTATTTTTATTTATTTAATTTTGTTTATTTCACCAAACAGTCAAAATAAATAAATGTTACTCTTATTAAAAAGGGAAGAGCTATAAATGTTGTTTGTGTTTAATTACCTTTTAAAGTTTAAGAATGTACCATTCTTTATATACCGTACATCTAAATTGCCAATCATCTTAATTAGGTGACTGGCTCCAAAGCTGATTTAAAATGCTTCCTATTCACAGTGAGGTGTTTGCCCTACTGACATTTTACAGTACTCTTCCTGCCTACAGTTCTGACATGGCGATTAGATGTAGAAGTTGTTGTGACTTCCAGACATCTTCAAACCGTGCGTGCCTTCAGAATTTATTTAGATTTCTCCATCCAAGCCAGTTTTTACAGCAATACTTTTTAAGGATACAATCCATGCCTTGGTAAAAATGCGCTGTCAGGGTTAATTTTTATCTTTTCCAACAAAACATGGACAACAAAACCACTGCACTAACTTTCCATGGAGAAATAAATGTTAGAATGCTGATGATATTTCTGGCACAATCGCTGTTGAAACAGTTGGGATTTTATTCAGGTATTATTTGGTAACCATTTGTATTGGCTTCCTTGGATGTGTGTCTTTATTGAAAGCTAATTTGTAAGGCTGTCAAGTTAAAACTGAAAGCTTGTCCAGCCAAGGCCAGTCTGCATACACAGCTCACAAAAATAAATAAATAAAAGAGAACAAACAAAAGAGAAATAGGGACTGTATATTGTGCTATTTATTGTACCTTCTTGGTTTTCTTTTTATTGGTTGAGGGTGAAGGTCTGGCTCATGCAGAACTTTTTAACCCATTTTCAGGCTTTCAAAGTTCTTGAATCATTGTCACATTTAAAATAAGGCTGCATAAATTCACATGCACATAAATCACCACAAATTATTGTACCACTTAATAAATGAATAAAATTAATAAAATATCAAGAACCCCATCCAATTGATTTCCTGAAATGGGCACAAAACTATTGACTCACATGCAGAACTTTTGATTTAATTGGCCTTGGGGTTTTAGATGAGTCAATTGTCTCAAGAGATGTACAGTGCAACTACTTTGCAGTTTGTGTATAAATGTTGTGGTGGCAGCCCAGCTGACGGTGAGTGTCCAAGTTTTTTCTCCCTTTTTTTCTGTGGTTCTGTTTTTTTCCCCTGGTTTTCTCTGTTCTCTGCCTGCCTCCCCGTGTCTCCTCCCCTGTGTGTGTGCTCTCTCTCTCTCTCTACCTCCGCTCCTGAGCCCAGCCAGCGACCCGCACCTGCACATCGTCAGCC